ACTACTACTACTACTACTACCCATCCCGCTCCTTTTTCAGTCACTCTCGCCGCCGTCACCATACTGGTTCAATGACGCCACGAAAGGCAGTGTGATCGTCGTTACGACCAGTACTACGGCACGCCCTGCACTATGACCCTGCTTGTTGCCATTGTCGTCATCAGAGGCATTTACCCTGAGCCTGTCCGCAGGTCATTCGTGGCTACATCCACGGTCGCAACTGGCTGCGTATGCGGCACAAGTCGGCCGCGAGGATTCAGGTGGGGGGCACTTGGACTTCCTTGGCACAGTCGTCTAGGAGAGTGCAGGGTGTGGCATTGCAGGAGAGAACATAGGATTGTCATTTGTTCGTCCCTCGAAGCTTCAAATCCCAATTCTTCTTGGATGCCCTGTGCGAAGGCACTGGTCCGGGGAATCTTCCAGCGACAGCGGCATGCGAAGCGGCTTGCAGCAGCCATTCGCATCCAGGCAGTGAGTGCTACTTGTACCTGTAAATACAGACGCCAAAACTGTCTATCCATCTATCTATCTAGCTAGCTATCTAGCTATCTATACGTAAATATGTGTATGTTGACATTTTGATGGCATATGAAAAGGTATGCATGTATCTCTTTCATGACATTTACATACATACATATGCAGATGGAGATTTTTCATATTATAGAGAGAGAGCGAGAAAGATAAAGAGAGTGAGAGAGTTACAGGCATAGACAAGACATAGATGCAGATGCAGATATGAATTATAATAGGTATGAGTGAAGATACAGATATAGATACCGATACAGATGCAGAGAGATATAGATTCACATCTAGATAAACAGATGCAGGAAGATATGCACATACATACGGTATTCACTCCGGTGTTGCTTTCGTATAATGAATGTACACTGTATGCCTGCACATGACTGTGCACATGTGCATATTCATGCTAAAACTGACATAGAAACTACATGAACGACGAGCAAATCTTGTGGACCGCATGGTTCAGCAAGCGCAGTATATTGGCGTGACAGTGAGACACTGCCATGGGCTTGTACTGAAGCAATGTAGCTGTACGCAGGAGTACGGCCGTTGCGACCGTACCAGAAATTCAGCACCAGGGAGTGCATGGACATGGCAATGTGCTGTTGTACAGTAGTCATGTGACTGATGCAGCTGCAGTCAACCTAACAGCCGGATGACCGTAGATATCTCCATGTGGCAATGCAGCAAGACGAGTTATACTCTTACAGTATGAGAGCCGAAGAAGATTGTGAATGCGAGCAGCAGGCAGGACCCAGAAGTAATGCCAACAGTCGTGGGATAGCCTCGATTCCATACTTGTGTGTGTGTGTGTTTTCGTCTCAGCGAAAACCCAGGCATCCCCAATCTGTACCCGCTAGGCCTCTCATCCCTTGGAAACTCTAAACCTGGGACTGACTTATTTGGGCAGGCTCGCATTCGAGGCCTCTTTGATCGGAAGCAGGCACACGGGCAATGGGGTGCTGCTCAGGGCTCGTTGGCTCACCAGTAGGTTCAAGGTTGAGTCGGCATGCAACTGCCATTGGTTTAAACATGTACAACAACAGTTCCTTCTACAGCTGCTGCTGCTGCTACTACTACTGCTACTGCAAGTACCAAAAAATCCTTCTTCAACTTCTACAACTACTACACTACTACTGCCACTACTTCTGCCACTATTTGCTCTGCTCCCCGCATTTTATGCTCGGTTTGGCCATGAATGTCATTGCTCCGGTGCCTACCAATGTCAAAGCCTGTGCTGGGGTTGAAGGTTCGGAATATCCAGACAGCTGCTACGAAGCTCCAGCGGAACTGGCGGCGCTTTCAGGCACAACTGCAGGCAGCTTGGTAGCTTCAAGTGTCGGGTTTAGGATGACTATGTCCTGAGGCCCGAATTATCCGCACAAATTTCGGCCTCCTTCCACTATGGCTCTGCCTCCATCCAGCAACTGTGTTAACAGCATTCAAGCACCAATCGCCGGCCCTTCCGCGGCCGATCAATCTATTTCCGCACAGATCCTTATAGTCCCTATATATCTATACTACAATGTGCTCCCAGTCCCTATTCTGGCTATTAAGTTTCCAATGGTTTTCCAATGTGGCCTCCTCATACACGCGGCAAGCAGCCTCCGATCGTCCTATTGGGTGTAGATCCCGTAGCACTAGCTCAGAAGATCCATGCAAACTCCTAAACCCATCAAAAAAAACCTAAACCCTAAGCCCTAAACCCCTAAACCCTAAACCGATCTCCAAATAACTCCAACCATCCCAGAGCCTGAGCGCGAAATCCCCGTAAAATCCTTCCTCTTCCAAGCCTTGCGAGTTCCTAACACTACGCCTCAGCCCGACCCTGAGCAGTAATTAGATTAGACCCTAAACAATACTATGGTCTGTTACAAGTATACTAGAAGATCTACCGTAGTATACCACGAGAGACCATAATGCACTAATTTTAAGATACTATTATAAGGGAAACCCCACTAGTAACCTTGTGGAAGCGTTCCGAAGATGCACTGAAGCAGAAGGTGAAGCAGATGGTCTACGAGCGCATGGAGGTTCTCCGTTTGAAGCGCTTGGATATCCTGCGCCGGAAGCTCCAGGTGGCTGCTTTGCCAGACCTCCCAAAATCCCTTAGAATATACTTTAAGCTCTTAGATTATGGTAGGATCCCGAATATGAATTAAGGTACATGCCTTAGATAAGGGATATTGAAAAGTCTGGGCTGGGTCGTTGCCTTTAAGGCTTCAACTCGGGTCCTAAGGCTTTCGGGTCTCGGGGTCTTAGGATCGTGATTCTGGATGTCGGTATAGGGTTCAGGGTTTAGGGTTGAAGTTTGGCAGCTCACGCGCCAATGCTCCGGTAACAGCAATAGATTTGGCAATAAAGGTTCAATAAGGGGCACGGATCGAAAGGTTGTCAGTCGTGGATTCTTCGCACAAGTTGCTGTTGTCTCTTGTCCAAGATACTTGCATTCTACCCCATGCAGGTGGCCGCCAGTGTCGTTCTGCAGAGGAACTGGAGGCGGCATGTGGATGCTCAAAATGCGTTGGAGGAGCCGAACAAATCAGGCTTTAAGGGATGCCGGGTTCGGATTCAAGCCCCAATTGTTCCTCCTGCAAGAGTCGCAAGAGCTCAACTACCCAGGCACTTAGCTAGTTCGAATCTCCCTGCTTCATGAGATCTACCAGGAGCGAAAAGAGAAGGGCGATGCGGACAAGCGCACCACGACGATGCTGATTGCCACAATTAAGGACTTTCGTGGTTTTCGGTTGTCGTCCTCGTGACCGCGGAGGCGTCAAGGTTTTAACCTTGTGCCAAGAATGAGGAAGTGTTACTGGAAGTGCTTATTTAACATCATCGTACCTAGTTTTGTTCAAAAGCGGCAAATTTCAAGCCGGTCAACAACGGCTGCTTCAACAACCTAACTGCTAGCTAGAGAGTTCCAGAGGCGCTGTTGCTGGCGATCGATTCCTGATGCATGCAACATTTGAGGGGTGAGATTTCAGAATGCTCTGTCATTGTCTGACCTATATGAATATGCGGCAATATAGCTCGCACGTTTTGTACAGAAACACTACCGCGACCCTGACTGGCAGCACCAGCCACGATTCCATTAAGTGGCAGGCTACACATTCGCGTGTAGACAGATGTTAATAGAGCGTTAGTGGACGGCCCTTGAACCAGATAGATAGCTGCATAGACCGGAAGATTGACAAACATACATAGATATGTTGGTAGAATGCTGGATGGAGGGAGTGAGGAAGATAGTTTCGGATGGAGGGGAAGATCTCTCTGTCTCTCTCGCTCTCTCGCTCTCTGTCTCTCTCTCTCTCTCTCTCTCTCTTTTGTCTGTCTCCCTCCTCACTCTACATAGATGCCTAGATAACGATCCATGTATGCCTGCACGCCTGTATATGTGTATGCACGCGTAGACTGCTGCATTTCAACACGGCCGAGAGTTCGATGCTTGGCTTCTTGACCCCACTGTGCCATGTTACTGATCGGTTGTGTAAACTCTTAGGGGATACAAGTTTATTTTTGGGTTACTATGGGGCTATAGCCAGGATACGTGTGATTGGAGGCTTGCTTTAGGTGCTATATCCAGGCTTACGATGAGTGTAAGTGTAGCATCGTCCAGGCTCGTCGCACTTTTCCAGGGAGCCGCTGCGCTGCGCCACTACATCCACCCCTGGCGACTGGGGCGTTAATTGGATTCCCGGATTTATAGAAGTTCCCTGAAGCAAGGTAGCTTCGGAAGTCGAGATTAGGATTTGGTAGTTGAGCCTTGCTTGGGTATGAACTGCAGTTCCCGTGTTGGGGGTTGGGGAGTTAGGCTTGTGGGGTTCAGGACGTAAGCTTTTCAGTTCAGACACAACCGGAGAGGCAGACTTAACATGGTGACTGGGAGTTCCAAAAGCCTTAAAGCTCCAAACCTTGAGAGGTGACAAGTCCTTCAGATGATGTTTAGGGTTTAGGCTTTAGGGTTTAGGGTTTAGGGTTAGGGTTTAGGGTTGAGGGTTTAGGGTTTAGGGATGCTCCGATGTTTGTGGGCCCTAGACCAACCCCTGAGAGGTGGCGGCATCTACCGCCTCAGATCCAAGCCATTCTCAAGGAGCTCAAAGGCCCGCTCCAAAGGACTGGAGCTGCACAGAGTGTTTAGGGTTTAGGGGTTTAGGGTTTAGGGTGTAGGGTTTGGGGATCTAGGGGTTTAGGGTTTAGGGGTTTAGGGTTTCGGCGTTTAGGGGTTTAGGTTTAGGGTTTAGTGTTTAGGGTTCCGCGACCCTGGCTCGCCCCGAAATCCTGTCAAGTTTGTTCTGTGGAGAGTTTACAGAAGCTTCGGCTCTTCCAGGATGGAGGCTTGAACTCCGTGGGCCATTTGAAACAGCGACTTATCGTGTTGTGGTCGCTGAGGTCAGGTGGTGTTGCTGTTCCTATTTTTGGGGAGGGAGTACAGCAGTTCATGTTCAGAAGCAACACTCGATAAGAACGTAGCTGACAACATCAGTTTACATACATACATACATACATACATACATACATACATACATACATACATACATACATGCACACATGCATACATACATATTACTTACTTGCTTACCTACCGACCATCCATCCATACATACATAAATACATGCAGACTTAGCGACATACGAGTGTACGTGTCGTCTGGCAGGAGCATTGCCTTGCTCCCGGTATCCGGAAAGCTCGGCTCAGAAGAGCTGGGGCGGCGGGGCCTCAACGTGGCTGGAGTGGAGCACCTCCAGTTCCACAGCTGACAAGGATCCGGATTCAGTCTTCGGGTTTAAGTTAACTGAACCTCTCGGTTTCAGGATTTCGCGAGTAGGGGTTGAAGAGTTTATGGTGGGTTGGGATCTGTTTCGGGCTGAGGAGCTCGGAGCCTGCCCCCACCATTCGCTTGTATCGGATCAGCCTCTGCAAGAATCTGCAAGAGACACCCTTCGGCCTTCACTTGACTGTGTTGTTTTTGAGGTCGTCACGCTTACTTTCCGGCATCCGCCTTCAGAACAAAAAACGAGTCCGTTGGATGGGTACACGTCGATGTCTGCAAGATGAGTCGGGTCGTACATTTTCTGACCTACGAGTAAAGCAGTAAGGATGTTTGATCCGCAGCATTGGAGATTGGACGTTTGTGTTAACCTGTTTCGAAAGCAGCATAGTGTCACCTTCTGCAAGAGATTCCGGTAGTTGTGTCAAGTTGGCTCGCTTGCAAGATCCCGAAAGAAAGCCACACTGCACTACATCCCCGTACAAACTTGTCCTCAAGGGTCAGTACAGAGCAATGTTGACTTCGATGTCTGCATGTTCGCTATAGCGGCTATAGCGCCGTCCAGCGCCACACAGGCTTTCAAGCAGCTTGTAGCTTCACCCCAGATTCCGGGCTTTGGCTGAGGTGCCCCCAGACATCAAAGGATCCGGACTTGGCTTCCCACCTCCTCCTCCAGGTGGGCTTTAGGATGGTGCTCATTCTGATATAGGCGTGTTGGTTCCGGTGCCGGCGATTGTGATGATGCTGATGGCGGCATTGAAGGATCACGGTGATGATGATGCTTATGTCGGTGACACTACCAGCGATGGTCATGATGGTGGGAACGAGACGATGGTAGTCAACATGATGAAGTGCTAGTGCTGGTGGTGGCGGTGGTGGGTGTGGGGGTGGGGGTGGGGGGGTGATGGTGGGGGTGGGGGTGATGGTTACCGTTCCGGTTGGCAGCTGCGGCGGTGTCAGTGGTGTCGATGACGGCAGTGTTGAGCATGGGGGAGAGGCTGGCTCGAGTTTGGACTCTAGGATTCCGTTTGCAAGTTGCTCGGCATTCAAGGCCTGAGATTTTGTCAGAGTTGCAAGTCTGCAGCACTAGATTTCGGGGCTCTAGTTCTGCACTGCCACTTGAGCATTGGTGGAGGGGCAGAATCAGCAGGTCAATCTGAAAAGAATCTCAGCGGAAAGGGAAGGCGAACCAACCGGAGACCTGGCGGTCAAACCTGCCTTTGTTTGAGAAGTGGCCAAGCGAAGGTCAGCCGACACTTGCTTTCGCACGTGCCTGCAGAGCTCTTTCCCGAGACTGTGAAGCCTTCCGGCAGCAGAAAGTTTCAGATTTCAACAGGGTCTCCGGCAGTGAGCAGCCCTCACTTCAGGGACTTATCCTCTCCTTACTTAAGGGGCTGGGACCAAAGACTCAAAGGCTGGAGTCGGTATAGAGAGAGGTAGAGACAGAGAGAGAGAGAGAGAGAGAGACACACACACACACATATGCCGAGCGGAAACGAGGAAGAAAAGGCATGAGGCCGAGACAAAAGCTCCTGTACCCCGTGTGGTCGTTGCAGCTGCATGAGCCGAGAGTGCCAGGGAGTTCGTCAGGATGCTTTACCGCTCGTCTACCCAAAAAAAAGGTCTCCCTCCGGCCACTCCCAGCAATTTTTTCCGAGTTCCAAGACCAGCTTGAACACAGGATCTGGTCTGAGTCATAAAGCCAGGCCCTGTATCCTACATCTGAATGTGCAGTGTCTGGCTCATGTGTGCTGAGGAGCTTGCCCGAGTGTGTCACCTCTTTTGACTCATAGCGACACCTGAGATGTGGGGCTCCGATTCACTGAAGTCCGTAAGCACTTTGCCCACATAGTCTGCAACGTTTAGATGCAAAATTCGGAATCCAGGAACCCTGTGAATCCGTCATAAAGTTATACGTGTATACTGTATACATACTCCCAAGTAATTAATCATCTTCCGGATTTCGAGCGTGCTAGGGAACTCGCATTGGCTTTTACAAGGTGGGCTTGCTACGCCATCGGCCACCAAGCTGTGAAGCTTTACCACACCAAGGGCTTCTACACCCAGGCCAGCTCGAAGACTGCTGTGAAACTGCATATTGAAGTCATATACCATACTTATAGACTTATACTTGTACTTATATATATATACATATGCATATATATATATATGTATATGTGTATATATATATATGCACATATGCATATATATATATGTGTATATATATATATTTACTTATACCCGACGATAACATACCAGAGAGATGTACATAAAACAGCATATAGGAATGGCTCAGAGCGATTCGGCCTCGAACGGAGTGCTGTCTTGAAGCCTAACTCCATGGGTTTGCAGATGAGGCTTAGGGTTTCGGGGGATCGCGTAGCATCAAGCCCAAGTTCCGAACAGCCCAGCAAGCCTGCGATGTTTGCAAACTCTGCAGTACCCAAGCAGCTTGACAGACTTGGCTTTCTTGCTGTCAAGTTCTCGCACCTTCAGCCTGCAATCGTTGTGCAGAGGCACGAAAGCCTTAAAGTTTCCCGCATCATCCACGTCCTTAATCCAAAAACCCCTAGACCCCTGAACCAAGCCCACGTAGCTCCAGCTTGGCTTCAGGAGGAGATACCTGTCGGCAAGGAGATGCCTCCGCACCCCAACGACAGCCTCCACTCGCTCTACAAGGACTCAGTGGAATTTGGGATTCAGGGTTCAGGACCCTAAACCCTAATCCCATGATTATGCCTGCATTTTCGCTTCTGGAGACGCACTGTAGATGCCATCGCTGGGGGCGGGGGGGTCCGGTGTTGTGGCGGGGGTTTGGGGGTTCAGGCGGTCTAGGACCGGGGTTCAGGGGTCTACCTACGGGTGATGATATAAATCCTGCATTACCCATACTAATCCCTTCCCACTAATATTAAATCCCCCCCTAATATTAAAA